GGTGGGAAACGGCAGGCTGTACCAGGTCTGCTTAAGGTGTAGCCTTGTCTTGGTGTCTTGGGTAGGGGTCGCGGGGGATGAGGGAACGGTACCTGTGCAGGGAGGGTTGCTGCAGACAGAGCTACGGAAGGGAACAAGTCTGGGCCCGTGTGTATGCTAAAGAACCAGAGTACGACTGAAAGAGAGTTGGAAGGGAGGGAGCCGCCCTCCCCTGGTGCCAAAGCTGGCAAGGGGGAAACGGAAAATTCTCTGCCAGCCTGTGTATCTAGTATAATGGGTGCTTCCTACTGCTCAGTTAGTGAACAGCCCCTGGGAGCAAGGGGAGGCGTTAAAGAAAAACAGGTGAACAGTAGATACTGAACTGCATCTGGCTCTGGGCTCGAGCATGCGACATGGAGCGGAGTAAAAGATTAAGTGCTAATAAACAGATTTTCAAGTGGGCAGAAGATTTGCATTGGTAGGCATGAAGGTGTGCAAGTAATGTGCACATCTGGTGCATCTGAGAGGTACCACGTGGGTGTTGTCCACTGAGAAGAATTTAGATAGTTCCATGCCAGAGAAAGCTTCTCAGAGATATGCGTCTGTATTTTACAGAATCAGAGACAGGACTGAGATAAAGGGACTACATAAGAGGAAGCAGTGAATCCTTGTTGAAGCATCAGACAGCAGGTAAGAAAGCTAGGAGTGAGCTGATGCTGAGTTCTTTTTGTCCCACTACTTGAATTTTTGAGACGATGTCAAGCACGTACTTGGCCAAGTATCCCTCTCTAGGATGTTCTTTGCATCATAGTAAGCCCCTGTTGCCTGAGTCGAGAGGTCAGGGATGCAAACGAAGTAGGAGCAACTCTGAAAAATTCAGTAAGAGTCACTGGGAAGATAAGTTGAGTTAAAAAGCTAAGCCAGTGCTCTTTATGTGCTATCCAAATAAGTCATCTACAGTCTGTTCTTTCAGTGCTGAACTAGGTGTGTTCTGTGTGTAATTGCAAGAGGTTTACGCAGCCAGAGTCACAAAGAAATCTTTTCCAAAGATTTGACCATGTGGTGACTGCAATGCTGAAGTTAGGTGATTTTAGGGATCCTCTGTTCTGTTAGGTTATTTCTTCTGCTGTGCTGTTTCTTCCACCCATGTTTTAATTGATCCCCCGAAGGACAGTGCAGGTGCAGTACTGATCTTTCTGTGCTCTCCTAAATTCACTGTTGAGATCCAGTTTAGAGGGGCAACTATATGGTACCCAAGAGTTGGTCCTTTGAAATATGTTCAGCCCTTTCATTTATCTGTCAAGTCACTTTTAGTACAACTCCTTTGTCTTCCCTTCACTTGTTACTCAGTTGCTGCAGAAAGCTTATGTATCCCAACGGTGCTGTGCATACACTGCATATCAGCCTCTGGATGTTAGATCAGCATTTAAACTAGCGGATCCTAGCTGTGGTGTCAGAAGTTTCTGCCTTTTAATTCCTTCCTAGGAATTGTGGGAATGCGTTTCAGAAGGGCAAGCAGAGTTCCAAAGTGCAGCCCGTGGCTATCTTCATTTTTAATATTAACAGGGTACTTAGGTCAGGAGGAGATGTTACATGTGAAGACCTGTTGCTTCTTCAAACCAACTGTTTGAACCAAAGATGACCTTGCATTCTTTCCAGTCTTTTTCTAGTAGTTCCTGGCCACTGATAAGTTGCTTGTTTTGAAGCTCTCAGACCCTGAATTCTTACCTGCCCCATCCACTCTCAGTGCAATCATGAGGCTTAGCATTTTGGGGAAGTAGTTTAGGAAAGAGCCATAATCCTTTACTTGTCTGCCCTTTTTTGTCCCAGAGCAGGATTTAAAAAAAGTTGGATAGGACGGTGGATGTTTTGTTGTGTGTGTGTGGTTTTTCTTTTCTTTTTTTTTTTTCTTTCTTTTTTTTTTTTTTTTTTTTAGTGACTGTGCTGATGTGGCGGGTACCAGAACTGTCTTGGAGAAAGGATTTGTGGCATTTGGCGTGGTTTATAAGATGCTTTTAAAGAGGCAAAGAAAGATGAACAGTTTAAACAACAAAATTGTCAGAACTCAGTAAAATGTGACTGTATTTTTCAGGAGCTGTTTGAAGTGGACTTGATGCTTGTGAATTGTGGAGGCTGACAACCTTTCTTTCCCAAGGAAGTGCTGCCTTAGTATCAGAAAGTGAGCTTCCTAACCTTCTAAAATGTCTGCTATGTTTTAAGGAGGATGCACTGAAAACTAGCGTGAGATTTCCATGCGTCACCACCTCTACCTAAGAAGTATTTCTGGAAGTTAGGTTATAATAAATTAACCGTGTTGTGTCCTTGTAGGCGAAGGCCTCGCTTTTACAGCATAGAGAGACGAGAACGTTGTAGTAACGTCCCTTACCCTCTGCCTTTCATGTTTCTAGGGGGAATGCTACATGTGGGAGCCTCAAATGAGCCTAGGTGGGGTAAGGTTTGAGGGCAGGATTCTTCCACTATGAAACGAGAGTCCTATTTGATACCTTTGCAGTTCATCTCTGCTCTCTTGAGCAGGGTTGTCAGGAACAGGTTTTCTTGGCTATTAGACTTGGGATTTTTTTTTAGAAGTAAATTTAAGTCCTGAAGTTAGACACATCCAACTCCTTGCTTGAAAGCTTTGGTTGGGAAGGTATCCCCTTCCTGTATGGCACCTTGAACTATGGACAGAGTGTGTGTTTGTGGCATTTTTTTAGCTAGCTGGTGCTAGGAATGTGTATTTTTTGTCACTAGCAAGTGAGTAATTGTGATGCTTCTCTCCATTTTATACAGGACTGCAAAGGAGCTGTGTGCATAATGTCTGCAAAGTGGGCTAATGCCTTGTGGGTAAAATTGTCCGTTTTGTTTCCATGGCAGTTTCCCTACCTAAGGGCTTTTGCCTTGTTCCATGTTGGCTGTACCTGTAACTGGAGTAGGAAGAACGTTACTTTTTTAAATTGAGCTGGTTAGAGGGGAAAGATGACCCTGTGATCAGAATTCTGAACTGGAGTATAGGATAGGTAACTTCTGCCACAGGTTTATTGTATGAGCATGCTCAGATTATTCTCTTTCTTGATCTTCATTCTTTGGTTGCAAAATATGATGAACACACATCTTATTGAGGATTTGGGGAAGAGTCAATAAGTGGCTATAAGGTGCTTGGATACTACAGTGATGAATATTGTAGTAAAGTTTGGTGGAGGAGAAGAAATGAAAAGAATGTGCTAAGCTGTGACTTCAAAATGAAGCGGACTCTTGTGTGTTCCGCTCTCTTCCATATTCTGTAGCATGGTGAAATTGCAGTGTAGTGCAACTCGGGCCCTGCTTTGTTTAAAGCAAGTGGGCACTCTGAGACCTCTGCCTTCCGTCCCTTCCCAGGATCTGTGTGCTTGTTTCCACAGCTTGTAGGGCCTTAGCTAGCTGTATCTGGCTTAAATTCCTCTCTTCGCTTTTCTGCCCCCTTATTTGTTCCAGACTCAGAAATTGTTCTCTTTCTTGCCAGCATGTTAATGTACGGTCTTATTGCTACTGTGTTCAGACATAGATGGCCAAGAGCAGTGGCTCTCAGGCTGTCTCATATTTGGAATGACGTGAGCCACCCTCTTTGGAGTGTCCCCCTGGGAACTGTGCTTAGGAAGGTAACGGCTGCATAGGAGTGTAAGCACAGCGTTGCAATGGTTGGAATGCAGGATAAGCATCGCTTGGGTGGGCTCAGTTTTCCTCTGCTTTTTCAACAATGCTAGGTGCCAAGTCTGAGGAAGACTGCTGCAGAGAAGAGAGGTGAAGGAGCTGGAATGTATTCTTCAGTTGAGGCGAATGCAATTCAGTAGAACTGATAGGCATCAAACTGAATAATGATTTTAAACCGTTTTCACATGATGTCTAATCTGTGGAAATTCACTACCACATAATAGCACTGAGGCTAAGCTGAGCGGGATTCAGAGAAGATCAAGCGCTTATATGAGTGGAAATGTTCAGACTTGCTTTAGCTAAAGTTTTAGAAGACGCATTTTTCAGACATAACCCAATCTCTGACAGGTGAAGGTTAGGAAAAAGGGCAGTTCTTTCCATAATTGTCCACTGGGGCTTCTTGCTCCTTCTTCTATTATATTGACTTATGTCAGAGACAAAGTATTGAATCACACTTATTTGCTGTGTTAGATTACCTGCCAACCTTCCCTTTTGTGATAACTGCCTTTAAAAAAACCCACCCCCCCCCCCAAAAAAAAAAAAAAAAAGAAAAAACACAAACCCAACTGCTCTGAGTAGCCCTAGTAGTTGAGAATTTTAAGCTGTGGAAGAGAAGGGTCCTTGGAAGGATAGCACAGTCCATAGATGAGGATTGCATCTCATTTCTGAATGCCAAGACATTTAAGTATTGTCTTGTTACTCCAAGTGATCCGGCAAGGTGCTTTAGGCTTCTTGCCTCTACTTCTAAGAGGGAAAAGAGTGTGTGGAATTTGGCCTCTCCACATTGTAGTCTTGTAGCGGACTTTAGTCGGAAAGCAGCTGGAGGGGTGGACTCCTCTAAGGCTATTCTAGTGAAATCCAGTGCGTTCTGTCATTTGAGAAGACACAGTCTGTGTCCTGCACTGTTGTCCCAACTGCGTTGAGGACCAAGAGGATTGTTAGTGCTGCTTGATTGCGTAGGCATGAATTGAATTGGATAGACAGGCCAGTAAAGGTGAGTGGTAGTGATATGCAGATAGGTTCAAGAAGATGTTTGTTTGTAATGTCTGCCGTAATGCAGGGGGAACTCGTGAAGGTAAGAGCAGAGGGGGAGGTTTTTCAGAGCTTGGAGCAGGTCATGAAGATCTTGAGATCTGTGTATGGATACCCTCCCTGTGGGCTGTTCTGGAAACATCACAAGTGCTTTAGGGCACAGCTTAACCCTTTTGCGGCAAGCATAACTGCTGTAAATGGGTGAAGGGCTACTGACTTGCACAGAAGTTGTCTGTGGGATGCCGAGGGAATGCAGATAAAATGTGGAATGGGTCAGGATTGGAATGTATGATTTCCTGTAGGGGGTTAGGCTGTTTTTTAGTGACTTTTGCACAGGGGAGCTGACCTACTGCTAGTGGCAAGAGAGAACTCGCTTAAATTTCTGATTTCTAAGTACTGGCAAACCCAGAACAGAGAGTCTCACAGCGACTGCTCTTTCTTGGCTGGCTTACACGTTTGTATATTGTCCATGCGATAAAGTTGGCTTTGGCAGCGTTGTAGGAATCATAAATGAATTTTCTTATTCTTGTGTTTAAAGTCTCAGTTGTCCAGCTGCGTTATTGTAATGCTTACGCACAAATGGTTCTTAAGAGGAACTACCTCATCTATCTCTTTTCATTTACCTGTTGAAGAATTATACTTAGGCTCATTAAAAACCTTAGGGAAGTTTTACTTTATAGCATTTGTTTCAGATGAATCTAAGACGTCTTTCAAGATAATAGATAATCATTGTGGCAGTAGGTTTTTGACCGTTATTTTAGCTTATGCTACTCTGGATAACTGTACTCGGACCTCGGTATATGTTGCTGTCACTGTATACAATTCCCAAAGATGCCTTGCTTCATCTTCTCCTAAATCGAATTTCATCCTGTAACTTTGCTGTTCCTTAGCGAGGGCTCTGTTGCTGCCTGATGGGAAGGTTAAAAAAATTCTAGGGAGGCGACTTGAAAACTACTCAGTCTCAAAGGAGCAAGAAGTGATTGCAGTTTCTCCTACCGCTCTGGATGTTCTTGTATGTTTTTATTTGTAAATCTTTTTTTCCTTTTTAAGAACTCCTCCTCCTTCACTTTTACCTGTGGGAGGATTCATATTGTATTGTATGCACAGTCCTATCAAAAGGGGAAAAGAAAATAATGGAAATCAGCAGGATACTTTGTGTAAATTAGAGTTGTTTACAGTGACTCTTCCTGAGAGGGGTCGTCTTCAGGTTTACAGGTTTAAGTAGTTTCATTTTTTTGAGCAGAAAGGATCTCATGCAGTAAAGCATGTAAAATAGATTTCTTGAGTTTTAGAATTGAATTTTCTAGCATTGTGCAGTGGGCTATGTAAGTGCTAGGAAACACAAACTTTGCTCAGAAGGATTTTCTTAGCTCACTGTGTTTTGCTAGCAACACACTTTACTAGCAGGAGATGTCTGTGTAGGTACTTGCTACAGTTTCTTCTAGGGCTATTAAGGATTGTCATTTTTGGGAAGCTTCTCATGTCAGGTTGAGTTGGTTCCCGAAAGGGAATCACCCTTGCTGAACTGCGGAATTTTTGCAGAGTCTACTCATAAGCGTATCCATTTTTCCTTGATTTGTTGATGTTTTTGTAATAGGTTCCCAGGTGTGTCTGAAATGGCTGTAACAGGATTCAGTGTAGTCAAGGCTCCAGCTGGGTGGGGAGAGCTGTGTTACTGTGTAGCTCCAGAGATGATTTACTATCCGACTGACAACTCGCAATATAAACATTAGTCCAAGCATGATCTTGTCCGAAAACCCCGCCTACGCAGGGAGCCAGGAGTCTTTCTGCCACGCGCCATAAATCGTTTACGGTTTGCTCATGCCCGTGCGTTTGAAAAACAGCTGTGTATTGGGATTAGCAGTTTGCAGAAGGCCCGTGCGGGGCTAAATTAGGGTCTCTTGCCCTGGTGGTGAATGCCGGTAACAGAATAGCAGGAGTGCTTCTCAGCGATGGAAAGCAATTTACTCTGGGGCTGGGGGTGGGTGCGGGATATACATTAGGGTATGGCAGCCAGGGGAAAGAG